TTTTCCTTGGAAGTCTGGAATTGCTCCTTTTCTATTTTATGTAGGTCTTGGAATTGAGTTTTATAGCAACAGAAAGCGCTTTTTGCAGTGATAAAAATACATTTTCTATATTCATGAATTCATAAATTTTAAGAGGAAAAGGAACCATTACATTCATCCAGCCTGAGGCATTGATAGATTTACTGCACAGGAGCTAATGGACCAGAGCACAGTCCCTTTGAGATGACAGGAGAGAATTTGTGAAGCTTTTTTCCTTTCCTCCTCATCATCATCATGAGGGCAACCACCTCAGAGCTGCCTTGTTCAACAAAGACCCTGCCTCTAGTCCAGCTTGAAAGAACATTTCTCTAAACACATTTTAGAGAAAGCCAGGCTGCTTTCCCAAGCACTCAGAGAAAGCAAAGGTCAGCACCCCCCCATTGCCCCAGAGCACCTCAGCCACCTCTCCTTGACCCCATCTGGTCTCCCAGCAGCACCAGACACCCCAAAGCAACAGTAGCTGCTGCTCCTGTGCTCAGGCTTTGTTCTTTACCTGCACAATTCTCTCGTTGGGATGTGCAGCACTTGGCCCCTGGGACTCAGCTTATTGCCTCATAAAGCAGGATGGCAGGATTATTAATGTGGCAGAACTGCAGGGTTTTCCAAGCAATTTATGAGTTACCATGGCAGTTCATTAGCTCTCAGCCCAATGACCCCTTCCTGGCAAGCATGAATCAAGCAGGAGGCACGTACACATCTAAATGTAAGACAGATATTCACATCAAAAACACATCCAAGGCCATATTTCCTCCATTTTGTTCAGCACATGTCCAACTGCAGCACTAAAAAGTCACCAGTTATCAGGACTGATAACCAACCCACTGAAGCATATCTAGACACAAAGAAATTCACATTCCCCTTCTTTTATTTTCTTTTATTCTCATCAAACCGTTTCTGATGGATGCCTGCATTTAAAGAACAGCAGGTCCTTAGCAGAGGGTTTATATTTGCAGCCTGCATGGAATGCACAGGGAGGCAGGTCTGGCAGTGGGGACAGTGGGCTCTCTGAATGGCTCCCTTGACTTTCAGAATAAGGTTTCACTTTACACACAGACAGGTCCCTCATCCCCACTCAAGGAAGAATTTGAGAAAATATTTAACTTTCATGGTAATTATCCGTAGGTCCTAAAATAAAGCACACACTTCAAGGCTTCCTTGAGTCCAAGTGGCACTGTGTGTGTGAAAAAATTCCACAGGTTTTAATGCAGTGCTCAGTTAGGACTTCAGCACAGGCAAAAAAAACTAATCTAGCAAAGTAGAGAGGAAAGAGATATAGAGAATTAAAGAGTGACTTTGAAGTTAATAACTGGACAATTAAGAAAATGAAAAGATTGTGAGCACAGTAAGTTTTATCAGTAAGTACAAAACCACTACCAAGCTACTCACAAGTTATTACAAAAAATTACAATGTTTTATGCAGAGACAAAGGAAGAAGTTTGGGGGAAGAGGAAACAAGGAGAGAAAGACTTCTAGTAAGTCTTTATTGTATTATTTTTCTCACTTGCATAATTGCTTTTTTATTTTCTTTTCCACTCTAAGGGTATTTTAAAGAAAAGGCAGAACTAAAATTTTTACATTTGCTTCTATTACAGCTGCCACACTCAGAGCTCAACCTCACCAGGCCTTATGTGCTTCCCAGAATGAACTTGTCTTTTTCTTTTGAAAAAGTAATTAATGCATTTATTAGTGCAGTAATGGGACCCACATACTGGAAAATCCCACCTTCCATACCATTTCATTAGCTAAATGTGGCTTTGGGCCAAATATTTGTATTTCAGCTCCTGCCAAGGTTCAGGTTTGGAATGTTTTTATGTTGGAGGTTTTTTCATCTGTTTCCTTGGCTGGGCTAATGGGACCCTAATGCACATGAAAGATCTCTATCACACCATGCTGCTGGGTGCTTGTTTGCTTCAATCATCTCATACATACACACAAACTGGTGGCATTTCCCTCTCAGCTAGGTGATGCCAACAGACCTTGAGCCCACAGTGCAAAGGGATATAATTTGATATGGAGAACTGCTGACTTGAGCCATTCCCACTGGCTCGAGTAATTACAACCAATATTTTTGAAATATACAGCTGGGCAAGAAGTTAGATGGCACCTTTATTTAAGAACAGATTCATCTGGCAAAATTGTGTGTGTCTGGCAGGGATTTTCATGTCCAATAAAACATGGAAGCTGGAGGAATGAACCTTCAAGAAATATGGATATGGCTTAAAGAAAGCAAAGTTCCTGCCTCATCCATTTACCTCTTGGAGATCTGGAATAGGGCCCAGGTCCTTCTGTCAGGCTAGAGAAGAACAGTGGACACGATGAGCCAAGAGACCCTACAGATGTTCTCCTGCCAGGACTGGGAGATAAGACACCTCACCAGCTCTTCACTAGGCCTTGGTCTACATAAACACTCCCAATCTCTCACAGGGTCCATCTCAGCTGTGATTTCTGCTAACAGCTCATGAGCTTTTCATTATTATTACCTTTTGTCACCTCATAATTTACTCAGCAGACTTTTTTTCATTAGTTGCTATCAGAGGAAGAAATATTGGTCTCCTTCCAGTCCTTCCCATGCTTTAGCACCAGAAGCCAAGTTCAGCTGCTCTGTCCCTATAGATACTGAAGTTCCTCACAAAGGAAATGTCTGCATAAAGACTCTCCCACCCACAGCCACCTCCATCACAGTTCTTGCTCTCACCAACTCTTCTGAAGCAGCGCAGCAGGTCAGCAGCACTGGCCAAGGACACAGGGCAGTTTTTCTCACAGGTAAGACCAGTGACACATGGCAGGACATCTCTACCCCAGTTGGGCAGGCAGGGAGTGACAGAGAGGAGCAGACTGACTGCACTGCCTGACCTCAGAGAGTAATGGGGTCACTTACTTGAAGCAGCAGCAAAAAGCATTGAAGTGATGCTTGGAGAAACCCATTTGTACACCCATCACATTTCCCAAGTATGCCAGGGTCACTGCATCTTTCACAGATCTCCAGACAACAACAGCAAAAGACAACATGTTTCCAAGTGCAAGAGGTGGGAAACAGGGATATGTATTGAGATACAGGCAACAGGGAAGTGCAGTCATGCCCATTTATCCCAGCCTGTCCCCTTTCACTCCCACAGTTTTGGTGAAAGTAGGAGAGCACTATGCCAGGAGCCATAATGTGTACAGCTTTAAGGAAACCTGAAACAAAGACAGCCAGCAGGAGGTTTTCTACACTGATATCATTCTCTAGGTCATGAGAATACCAAAATGTTTGGTTTTATCATTTCTTCTAAAAGAATTCCAGGACTTAGTTCTGTCTGGCACAAGCACATGAAACTGGAATTTGATTTCTTGTTTATTTCATTTTCACATGTTGAAGGACTTTGCTATTTGAGGCGAGAAATATGTGTCTGTTGATCACAAAATCCAGTTCAGAGACATGTCTGAGATCATGGTTTTGAAAAGGAGCCATGGCCACCTTCAAAGGATGAGGCAGATTTTACTCACAGAAAAGCAAAACATGCCATTTTGTGCTCTCAAGTGTGACTCATTTCCTGATGCAGTTAGGCTTGGACTAGAGAGTTAAGGTCAGATTAAGAGATCATTAGTGCTTTTTATAGTGGACTTTGAGACCAGGACCACAATTCTAGAATAAGGCCCTGCAGGCCTTTGAAGGAGAAATCCTCTTGGAAATACATCATGGGGCTCTGTTTGTTTTCCTGGATTTTTGAGGGATGGAGCTCCTGTTTTGACTTCTACATTACCTTTGTTTCTGTCAAATCCCCATGAGGATAAGCTTCTCCCCAGCCTTTTTATGAGAAAAGTGATATTAAAACATCACCTTCCTGACTAGAAATCTCATAGGGCTTTGCAAGGATAGCTTTGCTACTTCTTGCTGCATCACTTCAAGCAAAACCCAAACTTCCTGCCAAATGAAACAACAGCCAGACAAGCTGAGAGCCTGATGCTCCTGCATCAATGTCTCTGCTCCTCAGGGTGCTGCACAGCCACCATGCTGTAGCCACTACACAAAATGTTACAGTGACTGCATCTCAAATGCTTTCTGTCACACTCAGCATGCTGCAGTTACACACAGAGTGACCCACAGACCCTTTGCTGTCTTAGGGCACAGACAGCTTCTCTTTCACTACATGAGCCACTGTCTGCTCAGCACATTCAGTACAGCACCAAAATTTGCACTTCCAGATGGATGCAGAAAGGAACACTGAGAGAGAGAGAGACTGAGCTGATCCTAGTGACAACTATGTAAGCAAAACCCTGAAGGAAATATTTTAAAATATGTCAGCTACAAATGACCAAAATGTCATCACAGTATGAAGACAGATGTTGTTTTTTATACTACAGAGCTCAGACAGGAACAATTTTTCCTCTGTTGCAAAATAAGATGACTAGTCAGGTAACAGCAGAGTGTCTGCTCAATGTAATGACCTAAGCTCCCAACTGAGAGCAAACTGTTTATTTTTTGTTTAATAATAGTATTTTGTTAAAAAAAAATTGTTGCAATGTTTACCTGAGGATTTTGGGAGTGATTTTCTACTAACACAGTGAATGAGTATGGTTTGGTAATCACCTGATTCTATGGTACAAAATGAAATAAATACAGAATAAAGTAATAAGGATCCTACTGATAACCACAGCTTTGCTGCAGGATGCCAACATTCAGTGTGTAAACGTCCACTGAGCAGTTTGACTTCACTGCCAGATTTTCCTGCCTTGAAGAAGCAGATGAATGGGTTAATAATTTCCACATTTTTTGCTTTTTCTATAGAGCAAATGAGTACAAAAAGCCAATGAGAATTAAACTACTCTGGTGATCCAAAGCTTTTCCAAAGCTTGTCACCCAAATATGAATCACCATGAGCCAACTGGAAGTTCAACAACTTTTTGCATCTCTTATTCTCCACACACCACTGCTCAACAAACATAGAGCCCAGTGAGAGTTAGAGAATTTTGTAACTTACCACAGGTGTAGATGACATTAAGATGCTTTTGGATGCCTGGGTAACAAGGATCTCCAAATTCATAGGTGCTGGCATATATGCTGCAGCTTCTTTTCCCATGACAGCGCTTGATCATGAGCTGCAGAGCAGTAGCTGACTGACACTCTAAAAGGGAAAAACAATATCTATCGTGAATATTTGTCCATTCACAACAGAAATCACCTAAAAATAATTTACCAGTTGCAGACTGTGAGAGTACATACAAGATTTCCATGTTTAAAAGTCTTTATGTTTACATGAGAAAGTGCATCTGATTCTAACACACCTCTAATAAATTGAAAGAACATTGAAGAATCACACATCCATACAAAGAAAGAGAATAAAAGATGTTTCAACTTTGTAACAACCACCAGAGGTGTCTCAAATTCCCCTCTCTGACCCCTGTTGAATACAAAGGTGATCAGTGTCTCTGCTCTTTGAAGTTACATTTCTAAATCTAATGAAAATTAGTATGAGGTGTAATAATTATAATATTATCATCTACCATGTAAGCAGAAATATTGTTTTAATCACATTCATTCCATGCAAGTAAAACATTTTTCATATTAGAAATTTAGAATATGGGAAGTTCCAAAATTGTTTTCCCATATATTTTTCTCTACCAGGTGGTTTTGCCTGTTTCCTACCTAGGGTGAGAACAATTTGCACAGATAAAGTCCTGAGCTTTAAGGTGCAAGACTGACAGTTTGCTTTCACTGTCCAGCCAGAACCAAGCTGAGGGGGAAACTTGCAAGGAGACATTTCTTCAACATCAAATCACTGCTAAAAGGAACAGGACAGCTACAGAGAATGGAATACAAACTGCTCTTGGTCACTAATTAGGAGGAAGGGAAATGAAAAATGGACCTCAAAAGGTACTGAATGCTAGAACCAGCATAACAATAAAAGCCATGAGAGACACGGGAAAGCCACAGAAAACCAAGCCTACAGGGTAACATGCCTTTTTTCTCAAATCAAAGGCAGCATTTTATTTCACATGCTGCAAATGACAAAAGAAGAAGGCTCCATGTGAACATTTTCATACTGAATGACCCAAACTTCCTTAGGGGATTTCTGATCCAATGAGTGTCAGAGGTTTCAGTGGAAACATCTGGCATGCAGCAATCCTGATTCATTGTCTTTTTGCAAACGTCCAGCTAGAGAAACTCAGCAAATCTAAATGCTGCAGAGGATTTCTTGGAGGGTGCCTATTCTTTTTATTTGTTATTGTTCTCACACATAACAGAGAACATCCCACAGCTGTCTGCTTAGTGGCCTTGCCCTGTGGCACAGGAGCATACTGTATCCATGGGGAATTACACATTGCTGGTCCTGTGAGAGTCCCAGCAAGGATTTTGCATCCAGCATCCCCAGAGATGGGCAGCCTTTGGGACCTTCCTCATTTAGGAATATGTATGCACTAAACTACAGACTCTGCTCTCCACCTTAACAGATCAAATTGACTCTTCAGGTGCCAAAGCTGCAGATTCATCAGACTGAAAATGCTTCTAGGAGTTTTATTTGTCATACACTCTCACACTAACATTGACAGCTTTTTTAGCCTTCACTAGTCATGTCCTGGTATTGATGGCCTCCTTCCTCCCAAGCAGTTCTGAACAGGCCATGGTCTCCACCCAAACTGACATTATCAGCAGCATCTGTATCAGGAAACCAAAGAGGGCTAAATTATGGACACACCTTTACCCCCTTTGTTTAAGTGATACCCTATACCTTAGAATGATCTTGCCAGCTAGCATTACTCCAAACAGGTAATACAGCCTGATATATAACAGGGCTAGTGCTAATAGTCAATTTGCAGAAGGCCCCCACTGTATTTTTGGGGCTTTGAGCAACCTGGTCTAGTGGCAGGTGCTCCTGCCCATGGTAGGGGGATTGGAACAAGATGATCTTTAAGAACCCTTCCAACTCAAACCATTCCAGAATTCTATGAGCTTCTGGACTGCCTGGGAGAGTTATCTCGGCCAAGACAACAAGCCATGGACCATGCTGCAGTTTCACAGTACAGATCTATTTCCAGTACCTGTGCCACTGATACTACTCAATTGCCAGTACACATATAACCCCAGACACCCAAGTTCTTTGGGCACAGACCAGGCCACCATAGTCACAAACATCCTTAGTGAAGTCCTCAACTCTCCAACTGCCAGGCTGCTCCAGCTCAAGCTGCATCAGCCACAATGAGCAGAAGAGTAGAAGGAGCTCTCTATGCTTCAATTACAGCTGAAGATGAAAGCCCCTCACATAGAAAATAGGGCATCAAGATTGTAAAAGGCTCTTTTACATGGACTTTTTGCAAACCATAGCATGAAAAAATATATTTGGGGAAAACATCACCTGCTGGGACTGCAGCACATAAACCATCCCATAATTTAGCTGAAAGCAGTATCTGGATCCTATCCACTCCAACCTCCTGCCCAAAGAACAGCCAGCTTTGATGTTACATCAGGTTGCTCAGGAATTCGCCCAGGCAAGTTTTGAAAATCTCCACAGAGAAATATTTCCCAAACTCCTTGGACACTTGATCCGGGGCTAAGCCCCTCTCCAGGTGAAGAATTTTTTCATTGTGTATAATCACGTTTCTATTGGTGCAACTCATGTTCATTGCTTTTGGTGTTCAACTGCTGTTTCCTTCTGTGTGTTCCCAAAAAGAATCTTCTGTAGAACCACCTATTCCTTAGTAAAAAACAGAAATAATATCCTACCCAAAGCTTTCTCATCTGAAAACTGAACAGCCCTGTATCCCTCAGTATTCCCCCATATGCTATATGCTCCAAGCCCCTGACCAGCTTGGTGGAGCTCCATTGGACCTGCTCCTGTTTTCCAACATCTCTTCTTACCTGGAGAACCCCAAAGCAGACACTTCAGTGTTCTAGTTAAGCTGTAACAAGTCCTGCCCAATTTGGTACCACCTACAAACCCTGTCCCAGGTCATTACTGAAGATTTCAAGCAATCTCTGACTGCTTTTTTAAGTGGTTGCCAGTGTGACTTCAATATAGCACAGTGGAGGTTTCTTGTAGTGCTCCATTTCCTTGGCTCTTGCTGCAAACAGACACAATTTAGGAAAGTCTTACTGTTTTCCCTCACCTCCAGACCCAATGAACACCAGAATCTGGTGAATGCAGAAGTGGCAGAAAGTCATCTGAGGTATCCATGTTACAAGATCCAGCTAAACTCTACTGTAGCAACAGTCTCCCACATGGTAAATTCAAATACTCTTCCCATTTTCCCTATGGAAAGACCTGAGCCATTCTCATGGAAACAGTCATATTTTTCTAGCCCTGAAAAAACAGAAATGCAGTCTAGGCACAAATTCTGACCAAGTGTTCACTTCAAAGACTTCCTTTTGCTCACAACAGGGAATTTTCCCTGGTTTTGCCTCCATACAATTTCTATGCAAAAGTGCCTGGTACATTCCCATAAGGGCCAGGGCAAGCAGCTTTCAGTGTTTTGAGGGAGGACTACACCAACACTGAAATTAGCTTTGTCTCCCATCTTGAATTTCTTTGTCTGTCAGCATGTTCATCCTCCACATAACACATTGAACTGGAAAATGTAAGAGCAGCAATCACAACCTCCAAATGGGACCATTTTCCATACACACTTCAAAGGGTTTCTGACAAGGAGTTCATTTAGCTGCTTGCCAAAATGTCGTATTCAAGCATCTTTATTCCCTCACTAATGGGCACTGAAGATGTCAATAGTACATCTGAGAGGTGGCTGAATGATAGATGAGACTACAGCACCTTCATAAATCACAGTCACCACCATGGCATTTGGAGCTCTAGAAGGGACAACATGGTATTTTCTTTTACCCCTGTGTCTTGGGCTTATAAAAACAGTGAATTCACTCTTGTTAGATGTTATGAAGTGCACATAGGTAATTTAAGTTCCAAATGTAGATAAATCCTTGGGGAGATCATTGAAGTGAAAGCTCCAGTTATATTAATACCTCTTCAGAACGTGATTTTAGGTCAGAAATCTTCACCTCCAGGTGCCCATCCTCAGAGCTCAGACAGGCAAGAAAACAGAGGGGTTTTATCCATAAATCATGCATTTATCCTGCCAAAAAGATGCGGGGAAGCCAAGCCCAGCAATGTGGTGCAGCAGAGTTAGGCTGTGGTCCCCTTCAGTGGGCCAAATTCATTTTTTCCAGGTCTTCAGAAGTGGGAGACTAGACATGGCACTTATTGTACCAGATGTCATGCTCATTCAGGACAGTTGGATTAGATGATCTTAAGGTCTTTTCCAAACTTAATGATTTTATATTCCACAATCTCCTTTCTTCTGCTGCTTGTTTGCTTGCTAAATGCAAATTCCAAATGTTTTATGAAATACCACCCTGGCACCAGTAACAAACAAGTGACTCCATGTGTCAGAGATGTGGGAAGGATGCTCACAAACGCCAACACCGTATCACTAAGTCTGAGGTAAGCACTGCTAAGCAGAGCCAGGCCCCTGTCAAGAACCTCCTAAAGCCAACAAAGCTCAAATCCCATGATACAGCAATAAAAACTGCTTTAAGACCTCATAGATGATAGAGAGCCCTCTAGGAGAGGTTGGGCCAGAGTTACCCTTGGCTTTCATTAGTCTTGGATTGCTTGAGTACACTGCCAGAGAGCACATACGAATCCTGGCTATGTGAAACTTTCACATGTGAAAGCATTTAAAAGTATCATCTGTGCTTTTTAAATATGGCATTTTCAGCTAAAACTGGGGCTGTGGGGGAGTGGGATCAGCTCACTTTATTCTCTTTACCTCTGGCCCCAATTTCTAGAAGTTGCACATCCCTCCAGCCTTGCTCCTGGTGCAAGGTGAATTCCCTTTCCCAGGATCACTTCACAAATGCAGACCACTGGCCAGTAGGATTTCACAACCATCTAAGTCCTCAGTGAGTAATTCACCTTACCAGTAATTCACCTTACTTACTCCATCAGCCCAGCCTCTGTCAGGGTAAAAACCCAAACCAGGGCAACAGAGATGATGGAGGATTTTACCAGCCGCAGCTTGCAGACCATGTTGGCTTTAAAACTGGAATTGGTCTCGGTGATGTAATGTCCATATCATCAAGCTCACCACAATGAATGGATTTTAGTCAGTCTAAGGC